ATTGAAAAACAAACTAAAAAAAATAAAAATTGATAAAAAGATTGTGTTTAAAGTTGCACTAAATTAATAAAAAAAATTAAATTTGCAATATATGGTAACAAACCCTTTTGCATGTGCAAAATTTCACTTACTATTATTTCATTTATTAATTCTTTTTTTCATTCCTTCTCTCTCTTTTTTCTCACCAATCCACGGCTCAGTTTACCCTGTGTATGATAAGATATCATTTCAATTGACCATTACGAATGGCTTCTGAGTGCCACATGCATAATCATAGTAAGGTAATATTGAGATTGGGCAACAAAACATAAATTATTCAGTAAGGATCCTGTCGTTGTATTTACATTTTCAATAAAATTTTTATTAAATGTATTAATTTAGTTTTTGAATTGAAAATTTAAGTTCTTTAACTAGAATAAATTATTATTAGGTTTATTAAATGTAAGGCCCATGACATTTGAATTCCTTGTAAGGCCCATGGAATTTGAATTATATGTAAGGCCCATTACAAACTTCAGGTGTCTACATCTTAAATTTAGGACATGCCCCATTTGGAGTATTTGAACAGATCCATACATTTTAGTGATATTACTTTCCTAATTTTCGATTTTGTCAATATAGTATATATACTTTGGAAAAAAGTATTTCTCTCGTCACTGGAGATAAAGTTATCTCCAGTGAACTCAAAACGACGTCATTTTGAGTTATAAGATTAAAAAATTATAATGATAAAGACTAATATAACCCTACAATATATTAGAATTACAAAAATACCTTGATTTCCGTTCCAAAACAATATTTTTTTGGACTCACCGGAGATAATCTGAAAAAATATTTTATCCATATACTTTACTTAACAAATGCCTCAGACTTAGAGCTTTAATTTACTGTACAAATAGTCAAAAAAAATTGCGCTTTTGATTAGCAGAAAACGTGTGGGCACAGAAAAAACCAGAAAACTTAACACATGTTTGTTTTGGTTTATTTAAAAAAAATCATTTTTTTGGTCTAAAAACACTTTTAGGAAACTTTAATAAATAATTATTGAGGTAGGTTATATGATAACCTTTTATATCCCTGCAGATCAATTAAATTTTGATCCAACATTAATGAAAATGAAATAAACTGTGGTAATTTTGGAAGGAATTTAAAATCTTGATTTTAAATCCGCCCCGAACTTATGGAATTACCTAGGGGGAAAATCTAAAAAAGAATAATAATAATGAAAATGATTGTAAAAGGTTATAAGAAAAAAAAGGAGTTTCTCACATTTGTGGAGGGAGAAGAGCTAGGTGAACTTGGGTCCACCACACACGCGCCCCGCCTCCGGTTCAGTTCGGTTCGTGTTAAATAATAATTATTTCTTCAAAACAAACTAATCCTAACATACACTTATTTGGTTATAATAATTAACCTATAAATATGAGGAAACGAACCTATAATGAAATTAACGAAAGTTAACTAATAGCATGTTTAGATATGAGGAAACGAGGCTTTTTGACCCTTATAACCCTTTATTATTAATTAATTACCGATTTGACCTTGATTATAAACTATTTCAAAAATTTAACCCCCTCAGAAAACATAACACCAATCTGCCCCTGTTTGACCGTTGACCACCAAGCCTACCCGGGTACACCCCTCTGTACCCGGGTATTTTTTGAAAATTTTTGTCTACCCGGGTAGGGAGGCGTGTACCCGGGTATTGTTCTTCGTACCTGAAAAATTGCTTGAATTATTTACCCGGGTAGAGAGGGGTGTACCCGGGTAAATCTTCGACCACCCATTTGGTATTTTTTCTCTCTTTTTTACAGCTAATGAGATAGATCAGTATTATCAAGTTAAGCATGCCTAACCAATTTGAAGAGCTTTTAGCTTTGAGAATGGATTTGGAATTTCCATACATCAACACTTTACTGCTCATCAAAGCGGTCCCTGTTCGTATCGATTATGATGGGGTCTACTTTTATGTACGTCAAAATCGCGCTCCTATATATAAATGTGGTACCGGGTCTATTGGGGAGAGTGAGACGGAAAGAAAATAAAGACAGGGTTCATGGTACAGAAATTTAGTGTGAGCATGCAGCTTTTCATTTTACTGGTAAATGATGAATTATCACGTTCAGGGAAGACATGCATGAGACAAGGTTTGTGGTTGTGGATTTATACTGTTAACTGAGAATTCTCTTTCTGAAATAATCATTGAAAAATATTTGTGTGCTTTACAGACCCAAAAAAGTTGCAGAGGCAGAGCACGTGATAGTCGGTGCCTCCATATTCAAAGCTTGGAGAAGAAGAGTGCATGGGAGATCCAAAGAGTAATCATACCGGGTGGTTGAAGATTTACCCGGGTACACCCCTCTCTACCCGGGTAAATAATTCAAGCAATTTCTCAGGTGCGAAGAACAATACCCGGGTACACGCCTCCTTACCCAGGTAGACAAAAATTTTCAAAAAATACCCGGGTACAGAGGGGTGTACCCGGGTAGGCTTGGTGGTCAACGGTCAAACAGGGGCAGATTGGTGTTATGTTTTTTGAGGGGGTTAAATTTTTGAAATAGTTTATAATCAAGGTCAAATCGGTAATTAATTAATAATAAAGGGTTATAAGGGTAAAAAAGCCAGGAAACGAACCTATAATGAAATTAACGAAAGTTAACTAATAGCATGTTTAGTTTGTACACTTCAAACCCTAATTTAATGTGTGTAAATTTAATTTAATTTACAAATAATATGTTTTTCAAAATTATGATCAGATATGGTTTAAATATAATTTAAATATCAAATAGCGAAAGTGAAAAGGAAAAGAAAAATTGTTAGAATAATAAGAAAAGTTTTTTATTTTATTTTATTTTATTTATTTTTATGCGCTCCTAGTCCAAACTATGGTAAACAGTAATGTAAACATGTTAGGAGTTTGAAAATTAGGAATCATTGATAAGAGATTTCACTTTCTATATATTTATACAATTTTCCAACAAAAAATTATTCAGCAAGCAACCAAATTTCAAACTTTTTGTTTTTTAAAATGGGAACATGCAACGAACCATTGAATTTGTCAAGTCTTGTAACTTCTAAGTCAAGAATATATAAAAGTATTTCTAAATAAGAAAACAATATGGTGCAAGGACAATAATTGAATTAATAGTCAAAGATATAATAAATCTACCGAAGGAATATGTGGATTTCAATAAGCAGGTGTTGGGGAACTAAGCAAATAATGTTTGTTTGATATGGTTGGTTCTCATGGATATGCTGGAAACAGAATAGGCATAGATTGACACAAATCTCCATTTTGAAATTGTGATCAAGAATATCAAGTCGAATTATATACGTTGGGCGCACGTTTAGGTCATCTTTATTTAATAGTGCTCGTCGAATATCCTGAGGTGGAATGTGGGAAGAAGAAGCTTTGTCAACCACTTTTGAAATTGGAGTAATAGCTGGCGTTTTTGTTGAACCTGTTTGTTAATTGCTTGAAGGACAGAAAAAGTCGCAAAGAGATAGATTCACATTTATATTAAGGTATTATGCGTGTAATAGGAAAATAAGGATAATGAATTGAAGTCAGCAGCATATTAAAGAGTGAAATCTACGCAATAAAATTTAAACTATACATGCATAAGACACGGAAGCTTAAATTGCATGAACCAAAAGGAGATCGAAATATGCTCAATTTGTATATAAGTATGTTGATTTAACTACTCTAAGTATTTTATTCATAAAGTTATATTAAAAGCCTTTTTTTCATTTATATTTTCATCAAAACTCAACACATCATAACAAACTTATACAAACTATATATATGAGACAAGATTAATTTATATTTATATAAGAAAAATAAATATTACATTCAATTTTAATCGTTGATTTCTGTCTATCAAACGATTATAATTGATTGAATTATTATTATTAAATAATTATTAATTTCTAAAAAATTATATAAAAATTAAATGGTTAAAATTGGATATAAAATTTATTAGAAGATTCTACCTTATATGTATATATTAACTAAAAGTAGAAGAATTATCCGTTAAAAAAAAAGGAAGGAAAAGTTGGCGGAAGGAAAGCTCACTGTTTATTTTTGACAACTTCAAGAGATGAATAATTTCAGCCAATAAGTCAATTGCATAGACTATTACTATAAGTCAACGCATTCCAATTCCATATAATCTATCTTAAAATTAAAACTTTGAATTGTTCTTTCATCCATAGGAAGCGTAAAGACACAAATTCTCTAATTTGCTCTCATAAACACTTTTTGAATTCTTCAAGCTTTATGTGGAGGAAAATTCTTCCTTGACAAATTTATCCCCATTTCAAAGTTTGAAAATTCTTAATTTCTTTTGAAAAAAAAAATCTGCTGTTGATCAAATGAGCAGAATAAAATTCATGAAGGACCAATAGAAGAAAATTGGACGGAAGTAATCGAAATGGAATAGAAGTGAAACGCAATTACACAAGAGCAGCCAAAAGCAAGAGTGTAAATTAATAAGATGAATATCAACCAAATTTTCCATTCTGCTTAAACATCTCACTATCACAAAACTCTTATTTCAAATAGCAAAGTTTCATTAAAAAATAAAAAATTGTTTTGCCGTTTTAACTCATATAGTTAATTAGAACATACAAGAGTACGAGATAATTCCTGCATTTTTAAGGGCAAATTTTTCTCATGTTCCAACATTTAAGATTGTCATAAAACTAATGTAAATAAAATCCACAACCAAATTAAGCTCAATTTATCAATAAAACCAACTCATAAAAGATGAAAAATAAAATTTAATTTATGGGAGTAGTGATTTTTTATGTAAAGAAAAATCGGAAGTTATTAAAAGTATTTCTCCAAATCATGCAACCTTCGTACAATCTAATCAAAAAAAAAAAAAAAAAAAAAACTAGGTATAAATTTGAACTTTCAAAAGCTAATAACTTATTCCATTACTTTTAAATTTAATATGCAATATACAAACTTGACAAACTTAATTACTTATGCTGTATCTGGATCCGAAAGAACAAAATAAGGTTGAGATGTCACTCCATTTCCCCGTCACGAAGCATCATCTGCTTAGATTGGGACCCTTCACCAGTGCCAATTGAGCGACCCCTCCCCTTGTATCCAAGTATCCAACTATTCATTCAATTAAGAAAAAATTGTTGATCGAGGATCATCCTCAAACCACTTTAAAAAGTTGTCTTATATAAAATAAACAATAAATAATAAAATAACAGGTAAGACTTTAGTGGGAGAAGATTAAGATTCGAAATTTCCACCACCCTATAATATTATAATCTTTAGAATCAGAACAAATTTACATTGCAGCTACCGCTTTAATTCCGATTCACGTTTTTTGCTCCTACTACAAAAAAAAAAAAAAAAGCCACCCCAACAGCTACCCATTTTTAATTGCAAACTCGCGTTGACTCAAATACCAAACCCCCATTCCCAGAAATGTTCTCCTGCATCGCGGCCTGAATCGCGTGACGGTGTTCCCCCTCGTACGTCACGATCAGCATCGTTGGATCGTCCGGAGCTCGTTCCACGTGTTTCCTCGCCGGACACCCTCTCACCGTGCTGCACTTGTAATAACCCCTGACACAAACAAAAACAACGTCAAAAAAACATGCCTTTTTGAAGTTTGACCAAAGTCAAAACCCACAAACCACACATAAACTCACCTCGGGTACGGAGACCCCTTGATCGGTTTCTGACCGTACTTCCTCCACGAGTACTCGTCCGGCGGAATATCGGCGATCTTCGAACTAATCGCCGGCACTCTCATCGTCTTCTTCACCCGATTTTTCCTGAGAAAATAAAATTATTTATTTAATTATTTTTAAAATATAAAGTAAAAGATATGCCGTCGTTGCTCACATGTGCCAACTGCCAAGTGCGTGCTTTGGTCAACAGTCAAAAACAATAATAAATAAAGAAGGGAAAAAAAGTGTAATGTAAGAGTGTAAACGACAAATTGCTGGCGGGGTTTAGTTTGGGAAGTTCCGTTTTCTTTGTCTTTTTTCTGATACAGCATTTCTAAAAATTAGCCAATTGACAAACGCGGCACAGGACAAAACTCAATGTTGTCACTGTCACGCGTGGTTACTCCATCTTAATGCCTTTAACCGCACCACTACCGAAATCGTTGACTTTCACCCAATACCGAGTCACTTGGTGATTGGTTGGTTTATTCGGCTTCAGTTCTAACCGTAACCAAAACATTTTTTTATTTTATTTTTCGATTTAGGGGAATTATAGAGTGTGACGCAGGGTGTACCTTCTCTTGATGCAGTGGCACTTGTTTGAGCCGGAGATCTGGCCGGAGACGTCGTCTGTATGGTCGCGGTGGTCGTGGCACCTCTTCTTGAGCGGAGCCGATGAAAGTGGAGGCTTTCCGCCGGAGACTGCCGGCGCCGGGGGAGTGAGGAAGATCTTGCCGTTGGAAACGCTGCCGTCTCCGGTGATGGCGGAGGACATGAAGGAGGAGTTGGAGGAAACGCTGAATGTTTCCTTAGAGAACTCGAGCTCCAGAGACTTGGCGTTGGAGCTCAAGATATTAGGCTTTGTGAAATCGAGAGTCAAACTCTGCGGGTGATGAACGACGGCCGGATTAGCCGCCGGCGGAGAGGTGAAGTGGGCCGGAGATGGAGTGAGAGTGTGGGATTGAGGGAGAGAGAGGGAAGAGGGAGAGGAGGGAAGCGGAGCGCGGCGGAAGCGGGCATGGCCGGTGCGGTTGAGTAAGGAGATGAGTTTTTTGAATTTGGAAACGGTGACGTCAGTGAGGTCAGCTTGTAGAGGAGAGTGAGAGGGTTGGTGGGAGAGGAGATGAATGAGGTGTTCCATGCCCTTTAATCCCTCAGAGGCAGCCTCTTGTATTGCTTTCTGTTCATCCATTTTTGGGAATCCCATAAGCTCCACCGCCATTTCACCGAGAGGAGGGTTTTTGATTAGAATGATGGAGAATGAATGGTGTAGGTCACAGGGTCAAAATGCCATAAGAAAGAAGAAGAAGAAGATGATGTATTGGGAAGGGGGGAAACAGAGTAAAGGGAAATTAGGGAGAGGGGTAACATATATTGGGGTGAGGGTGACTGGATGACCGGGTAAGAGAGAGAGAGATATTTTTTTATTTTAGTCAAAATGGGTTTTTCCTTTCTTTTCTTTTCTTTTTTTTCGGAGGGGTGAGATGAGTTTGAAGATTTGTAAACGGTAACAGACAGGTGAGGAATTAGTAGTGTTTGTTCAACGTTGAAGTGGGTCCCTCGGTCCTAACTTCTAAGCGTGGAATGCGAAGAAACTGAGTCCAACGACACTTCTAATTAATGGGATTTCTTTCTTTCTTTCCTTTTTTACTTTTTTTTAAGAAAAAAACAACAACACACATCTCTGGAATGAAGAGTTACGCGGATGGAACTCGTGGAAAAAGTGGAAGGCCTTCAAAGATTCAATTTCCCATTTGCTTTTTCAGTTTTCTTTTCTATTTTTTTTTAATATAGGAGTTTTGGACTATGATACATCAATGTTTTAAAAAACTTAATGTATCGTGTCTGACATTGCAATATGTGTTGCAGAGACTTAAAAGGAAAAATTTTAAAAATTTGTGTTGCGTTATTTTTTTAATTTTAAATTTCAACTATTAAATTTATTGAATTAAGATTATTATTTTATAGAATTTAATATAAATATTCGAGATATTGTAAGTTTCTTTACAATTGATGAATATTATAAATTTAATTTATTTTTTTTAATTATTGAATATTAAATATAATATATATTACATAAATTAAAAATATTATTTAATATTAAAATATATTCTAACATATTAAAATTAATATATTAAAATATGTCGTGTCTCGTATCCATTGCAACATAGGTTTTGGACCGGTGGCATGATTCATGGTACAGTAATTAATTAACCATGCCAATGAAGCTAATTGTCAAAGCTCAAAACCTCTCAACGTCTTATCACTCAGCACACTCACAAATGTGGCATCACTCGATTAACGCGTCCTTACGCCCGCCACCTTGGCCGCTTAAAATTGGCGCACATCCCATCACCACAGCCCACAGAGAACTGCACTAAATTTCTATATTTAGAAGTGCACCACCAGACTTTTTATTTATGAACCCTCAATAGTCTTTGCCTATCATCACAAAAAATAATAATAATAATAAAATAATAAAATAAATCAGAAAATCATACCGAACATGAGATTATATTTTCTTATATAATATTTTTTTTTAATAACATTCATGTAGAGTAGAGACTATATTATTTGGGACAAACATTTTGGTGAGATACGATCAATTCTATTTATTTCATTTAAAAAATTGAGTGAAAATTCAGGAATACCAAAATAACTTATTTTGAAAAATAAATTACCCAAATGCCAAGTTTGTGAAAAAATATGTCAAAATATCACATTTTATAGTTTATTATCAGTCTCAACAGGTCCAATTTGTCATGTGTCATATCAACAATAATCCACTATAAAAAATAACTAGTATATGACTTGTTGGTTCTGACCATGTGTAATACAACACGTGACGTACAAAAGATGTCTTTTTTTATAATTCAAAAGGAAAAAGAGTTTTTATGCAATTGAATCATTATGGATTTTATAATTCTCATGTTGTAAAGATAAAAAGTATGTGGGACCCATGTGTTAGAAAAAATTATATGTAGGACCCTTGTCAGCACAGAAATCGAAGAGTGTGTAGGAAAATTATAATTCTCATGTTAAATGAAAATTATAAAACCCATCATTATTTTATCACTTGTTGTTTAAACAATGACTCACTGTTAGAAATAACATATCCAAATGGTATGTGACCAATTGAATTTGCCAAAACAAACATGTCCTGGAACATTAGTGTCATTTTAATTCTTCTCCCCAAAATTTAAGTTGGAGTATGTTATCAAAAAAAAAAATTTAAGTTGGAGTATGTCAGTGACAAAGTCACTTAGCGACTGGGTGAATCTTAGTCCGGATTAAAATTATAAAATTATAAAATTAACCACATTTTTAACACAATTATTTATAACCACATTTTTAACGTAACTAAATAATTGTGGCTAAATTTTTTGATAAAATTTAATATTAGGTTCACTTAAATTTTTGTTTACCATAATTCAATAAATGTACTAGCTCCACCACTAAGTATGGTGGTTTCTTAAATTGAATTTGAAGGGTGTGTTCGGTATCTGGTTTGCCATTTTATGAACTTGGGTGATTGGATATTCGGATATGTTTTTGGAGCCTTGTCGGATTGAAAAGGGCATTCCGACATTTGGACTTGGTGAATGAACAGTGTTTTATGTTTATTGTTTTATGTTTATAACTTTATATTGACCATTTAACAGCACGCGAGTTGAATGGAAATTCAACTTTCTTTTTCCGCTAATGTATTTTGTCTGAATTCTACTTATTTTGTAATTGGTACGTAAAATATTAAGTTTTCCAAAATATCCATATATCGCACCTACCTTTTAAAATTAGAAAAAAAAATTGTGACGAAAAAAAAAATCATGAGTTGGGGTAAAAAAAATTGACATATAATTATTTTAATAAATAATTATGAAAATATTATCATTTTAAATCAATTTATGAATTTATTACATTCAGTTTCACCTAATTTAGACAAAACTAATCTCGATCAATTTGGGTGAAACACTAAGGAGTCTTGCCTAATTTAACCGAAACTCAGCAAGTATTTATATACCATCTTTATTATTAAAAGCAATGACTGTATGACTATATGACACCCTGGATTATTCATCTTTGTTGGAATAAAATGGACTTACTCATAACAAAGCAATAACTACATCTAATAAAAGGTCGAATGCGTTGTAAAAAAAAAAAACTAAATACGAAAAAACATACGTTATATTAATCCGCAATATAATATTTCTTAGCAATAGTAAACTTTAATCATTCTTCTACATTCTTACAATGCTCTTGAAATGGGTTGCAATTTGAACCTACTCTAAAAAAAGCACAAAAATGACAGAGTTGATGAATAATAAAAAGAGGAAACTTATACCTTTTTTCGGCAACTTACATTTTAATAATAAGTTATACTCACCATTCTCCTTAAGAGAAAAGCAATAGAGAAAAAAAAAAATAAATTATAAAGAAAAAGGTCTCATTCATGTTCAACAAAAATCATGGCTCTATAGATATAAATTTAAGCAAGAAATGTGTTATATTGAGTTTTATTTTCGAGCATATTATTTATTATACATATATATATATATATATATATATATATATATCATAAAATATGTTATATTTTTATATTTTTAAGATAAAAATAATAAATATTTTTTTTCCCAAAAATTCTTTATAAGCACAAAATAAATAGAATTATTTTTCTTTAAAAACAATATCAGAGAACTTGAATAATTTTCAAACAGCAAAATGCAAATATGACTAACAATTTTTTCAATATAGAATAATGCTAGTGACAAAAATGAAGCAACCCGGCCATTAATTAAATATCCTTTACATTTAAAATATATTTTTATTTAATATTTTTGATTAAATATTAAACACTCTATCAAAAGAATATTTTAAGAAAGATATATATCATCCTAATTATTAATTTGGGTGGAAATAGCGTAAGGAAATTAAGACCACAACTTTATATATAGCCAACGTCATACTGGACAAATTAAGAAACCATTTACGACATATTTGACCAACCTGAATTAATTACGCAAACAACATTGTGGTGGAGCTCCTATTATAACCTATTAATTTCAGGATTTGATCATCTTTGTTTCCTTTCTTTATTTTTTTATCTAGAAAAAATTTCATTTTCACCCATTGTGGTTTTGTAATTTATCATTTGACCTCCTGTGATTTTAAATTTATCATTTAGATCCATTGTGCTTAAATTATATATCATTAACCCCTCGTGGATTCAAACTTTTACTTAGACACCTTGTGGTTAGAAAAATTTTTACTTAGACCATTTGTGGTTACAAAAATAAATTTTTTTAAAAAAATATTTAAAACAAATGTTCTCTCTTTTTTATTTTATATCATCACCTAATGCATTTAGGGTTTAAAAAATTCAAATGAATTTTTAAAAAATTCACTTATTTTTATCAAGAAAATAAATTCAATTCAAATCAAATATTATTTTATTTTATCTATTTTTTACCCTATATCGTTATAAAATTATCTAAAGAAAGTAAATATCTTATTTTGATAATACATATTTAATTTATCTTAAATAATATTTTTTAATTTCAAATATATTTAAAAGTATAAGATAATTTATGAATTAATTTTAGACTAAATAACTTGAAATATTTTTTAAACCATAAATACATTACATGAGGATATAAAATAAAAAAGGAGAAACTTTATTTTTAAAAATATTTATTTTTTAAATCACAAGGTGTCTAAGTGAAATTTTTGTAATCGCAAGGGGTCTAAGTGAAAATTTGAAACTATAGGAAATTAAATGACAAAATATTCCAGCACAGTGGGTCTAACTGATAAGTTTAAAATAACAGAAGGTCAAATGATAAATTACAAAATCACAATGGGGTAAATGAAGTTTTCTCTTTTATCTATTTTGATTCTAGTCATATAATAGGTAATAACTTGCCTGTTTTTTTTTTCACAACCTTAAAAATACATGACATTGGGTTTCCTTATAAAATATCAAACAGTAAACTTGATTCCTAGAATTTCAATAATAATACTTTATCAATTCTTAGTTTCTTACCCATTTTTTTTAATACTTTTAAAATAAAAACTACAAAAATCTTGAGATATCACTAACTTTTAAGCGTGAAAACATTTTTCATTTTACATGTTGTTTTCATTAGTTTTTAAATACTTGGGTTATAAATAAAGTTCATTATTGCTAACAAATATTACATTGCGGATTAGTATAACGTATGTTTTTTCATATTTAATTTTTTCCTTTTTTAAAACAACTCATTTGACCTTTGTTATGAGTCGGTCCATCCTATTTTACCAAAGACGAATAATCTAGGGTGTTATACA